GCAGTAATAATTGTTTCAGGAAAGAATCATCATTAAATGCTAAAACTAGAGGGTAGAAATTTTATGAAAAATAAGAAATTTACATAGTCTCAAAGTATCCAACAAGTGCTCATAAAATATTTAGTAATTAATATAAAGGGAAAAACTACAAAGGAAAAAAATAGTAATTTTACAGTGGGTAAATTTGGATGAGGCCATCTTAACCAAGTGACTAAAGTAAACATAACCAATAAAGGGACAAAGAGATATCATGTGCTTCTGATACAACGTACTGGGGAGGATACAACACAAATTCTAGGGTATTCCTGCCAAAAAACAGCCTGAATCTAATCATGAGAAACTATCAAACAAACCCAAATTGAGGGATATTCTACAAAATAAATGGCCTATAGTTAAAGTCATGAAAGACAAAGAAGACAGACCAAAGGAGACAAAAGAGGCATGACTGGCAAATTCATTATGAGATCCAGTATCAGATTCTGGACCAGAAAATAAAATTTATTTTTTACACTTTTTTTTTTTGAGACAGAGTCTTACTCTGTTGCCTGGGCTAAAGTGCTGTGGCATCATGATAGCTCACTGCAACCTTAAACTCCTGGGCTCGAGCAATCCTCCGGCCTCAGCATCCCAAAATGCTAGGATTATAACAAATGTGAACCACCATGCCCAGCCATTTTTTTAATTTATTTTTTAAATTACTGATATTAGTGGGACAAACTATTACATAAGGTCTATAGATAATAGTACTATATCAGTGTTTATTTCCTGATCTTGATAATTATAATTATGGGTATATAAAAGAATGTCCTTATTTTTAGAAAATACACACTGAAGTATTCATGTTTATAACTTACTCTCAAGTACTTCAGAAAAAAAAAATAATAGTTCATATTACACAAAGAAAGAGTGATAAAGCAAACATGGTAAATTGTTAACAAGTGGAGAATCTGGGTGAAAGGTATACAAGAAATCTTTGCACTATTTTTGCAACTTTTAAGTCTTACTTTCAAAATAAAAAGTTAAAAAAACTCTTTGAGCTATAGTCTCCTCATCTATGCAACAGAATTGATATACAAATCTAATACTACAACAAATGAGTTAGCACTCTATAAATTGTAAAGTTATAAATGTTAATTACTATTCTAGTGTGAGTTATTGTAATCATGGAGGCTTTGTGAATGAGGTAACTACGTTACAGTTGAGCATTGATGATTTTGCAGGGGATTAGAAATGTATTTCAGAAAGAAGAGCCACAATGGCTGACAAGCCATGTGTAGGCACTTTAGCCTTAGTGCTTCCACTATTACTAAGTATACACATCATTTCTTTACTCTGATATTCTACAACTCTTCCCCCAAATCTCACATATAAATTATTAAGTATTCAGTGAATTGCTAAGTATCCAGTACATACCACAGCATCAAACCGGTTATGATAAATCTCTGCTTGGCTCTGTTCAATGTAGCGTTGTTTAGCATGAACAAAAGCTGGTATTCCCCCATATGCCCAGCCAATGACGCCTGCTGAAGCTGCCGCCTTAAGGATGTCCTGAAGTTCCTTTGAAGCTCTCTGCTGTTTACTAAAACATCAAAAAGACAATGTTATTTGGGATTAGCTTATGGATATTGCTCTCCAAAAGACTCTATGATCAGAATTATTCCAAATGCTAATACCACAAGACTTTTCATTATGGATAGAATCCTCTAATGAATTAAACAGTGTAGTTATATTTAAAGTAACACAAATATCAGGCAGAACTAAGCTATGCTGCTAGAAATTAGAATAGTGAAGGCAAGGCAGGAGGATCACTTGAGGTGGGGAGTTCGAATCCAGCCTGGGCAACACAGTGAGACCCTGCCTCTACAGAAAATTTAAAAATCAGCCAGGCATGGCGGTGTGTGCCTATAGTCCCAGCTACTAGGAAGGCTGAGGCAGGAGGATCACTTGAGCCCAGAGCTTGAGGTTACAGTGGGCTGTGATTGCACTACTGCACTTCAGTTAAAAAAAAAAAAAAAGAGAGAGAAAGAGAGAGAAATTAGAATAGTGGTTACTCTTGGGAAGGCAGTGACTAGAAAGGTACAAGGTAACCAGCTATGCTCAGTTTGTGAAAATTCATTGATCAGTATACTTATGTACATTTTTATAAATGCGTATCATGCTCCAACAAAAAGTTTTTTTAAAGGTACTTTTATTTGATGACTATTATACCTATACCCTATCCCCGGAAATAGGAAGAACTTGTGAGTTGAATGTAGATATCAGTTATTTCCCCTTTTGATTTTTAAGCTAACTTTTAGAAACCACACAAACTGCCCGGAGATTTTAGGGCAGTGTATGAATGAAAACATTCATACACATGTTGGATATACAAAAAATAAATAAATAAAACCCTATCTTACTAAATACTTTACTTTTTATGACATGCTCAGATAGGCCTGTACTATAAAAAGCATTGAGAAAGATCACTAGGCAGTGGGCAGCACATGCCAATCTAAAATAAAAAGGAAAAACTACTATTTATTACTCTCAAATGCATAAGAAACTACAACTGCTAATCAAGCTTTTAAGATGTCCTCTTTAAACAGCTCTAACAAATAGCTGTAAGTATTAAGTTACCATAAATAACAGCCCTCCTAAGTAAACTAGCAAATGTTATCTTATTTAATCACTAACTTGCTTTTTTCAGAGACTGTACAAGTGTTTAATTCTAATTGTCAACAACCACAACATTTCTGAAATCAGAATCTGTCTTTATAGTTCCTACAAGAGAGAAATTTAAATAAAATCTCTTAGAAAACTGTAATTTTTAAACTTATGTCAACAGGAAAACTGTTATAATTTGAACTTTATATTTTATCTTTTATAGCGAATAAGATTAAAAAGAGTATCTACATAAAAACTGATCTACGGTAGAACTTGGAAAAGATAAAATGTCTCTAGATTAACAAGATTAAGATTTAACAGTTTAAGATTTAACAAGTCAGAAGATGAACATGTTTGCCTCTTTTTTAATACTATGAATAATTTTATGATATAGGCGATATTTATCTCAATCTTATCAGTAAGAAAATAGAGGCTCTAAGAAGTTATAAGGTTTGGTCCAAACAGTTAATGAATGGTGAAGAAGAAAAGTAACAGTGGTGGAATGGACTTAGTCTATACCTAGTCTATAAGTAACAATGGGGTTATGGTCCCCATTCTATCACTCACTGCTAACTGACTTGCAGCCAGATCACAATCTCTCCAAACCCTGACCTGATCCATGACCTGGAGAGGAGCATGAAATTACATTATTTTTCAAGTTTCTTTCAACTCAACATTCTGTGGTTTATAATCAAAATAACCCCCTTGTGTTATATACTACATAGGATCTTTCACAAGTATCTCAAATAGTGGAGGGATCACTGAGTAAAGATGCCTCATTATCTTTAAAATGTCTCATCATTTAAAATGATAAAACCTAGAGTAATTAAACAATTACTGGCCCAGTAATTAAGTCTGGGCCAGGCATGGTGGCTCACGCCTGTAATCCTACCACTCTGGGAGGCCGAGGCCAGCTGATTGCTTGAGGTCAGGAGTTCGAAACCAGCCTGAGCAAGAGTGAGAACAAATAGAAAGAAATTAATTGACCAACTAATATATATAGAAAAAATTAGCCAGGCATGGTAACACATGTCTGTAGTCCCAGCTGCTACTCGGGAGGCTGAGGCAGCAGGATCGCTTGAGCCCAGGAGTGTGAGGTTGCTGTGAGCTAGACTGACGCCATGGCACTCACTGTAGCCTGGGCAAACAAAGCGGGACTCTGTCTCAAAAAAAACCCCCAAAAACAAAAAACACAAGTCTGCCAGCTCCAACTATCTCAGCAACATAGTGAAGCTTCAAATTTTAATTTAATTACTTGATAACACAATGTAGATAAATTCATGTAAGGGCAAACTTCTCACCAGTAATTAATAAATGAATAAATAAATTAATGAATTCAATATCCCGAGTTTTCACGAGATAAAATCAATTCAATTCAAAGTTATCCTTTATTTTAAAATAATATCCTTTTTGTTTTACAATACAGCTAATTTCTTTTATAAAGTGATGAAGCAATAGTTGCTACTATTTTTAATTCTTTGTGTGTCAAAATAAAAAATGAACAACTCTCTTTCCCCAATTGTCATTGTGGGGGTATACGGGGTAATGACGTTAGGGGTCATGAAATAACAAAGTCTGGGATCAATTGAAATATGAAAAAGAACACTGGAGTGGATTTCTGTAGACATGGGTTCTGGGCTAATTTTAATACTAGATTGGCCCAACTTTTCAAATCTGTAAAATCAGGGGGCTGATCACACTTAAGACTATATTTGCTAAATATCTCAGACTTTTAGAAAGTTTGACCTTTACCATTTAAAAACTTTCCTGTCAACAACAAAACCATCCAATGGCAGTGTTAGTATACAACCTTGGGGTACAAATAGAACCTCAAATCTCATTTTAAACCATACCATCCCTGGGGTTTTTCGTCCCAGGATGACCCAGGCGGCAGAACCCGTCTTTCGCGGCCCTCCACCCCCACCGCCCCGGTGCACTTTTACTCTTTGACAAACAGCTCCCGGAGGCGGTCCCATCCGGATTCCGGGTAATAGGGTTCTGGGACGTAGATAGGAAGTTTCTGATCCTTCGCAAGGGCCTCCGAGTCAGCAGCCACAGTTTCGGCAGCAAACACTCGGGGGAAAGGACGCAGTGCCCTGCAGAGAAAGCTCCGTGGCTCCGGCGGCGGCACCTCCATGGCCCTCTCCCGACCTGCGGGACACTTGGCGCTTAGGACCCCAAGGCCGCCGGGAGGTGCCGTGGGAGAGACAGGTAGCGTCACAAACGAGTGAGTACCCGTGCACTAGGCCCAAGCTAATCTGCGGCCAGCTAGCTCTGCAACCACAACGCTAGACGTTAGGACTCTCAGTTCTAGGTCTCAGGACGGAGTCTTCGCAAACACGAGACAGGAAATCCCGCCCCCACCAGAGCAAAGGTCAGGGGGCGGAGCGACGGTGGAGCCGGAGCTGAGAAAATTTCCGGTTGGCGCCTGGCCCGGCCCCCGGAAGTGAGTTGGCAGGGAGTGGTTACACTCAGTGTGGTGTGGCCGCGTCTTTGCCGGATTTTTCGCAGCTTTCTGGGTGCCTGAGAATGGGGCTTGGGGCTAGTTACATTCAGCTTGATGCGGTGACAGGCTGACTTAGCATATCTAAAATGCCATAAATCTCACATAAAGAATAAAGTGGAATGTTCAATGCAAGTGGAGTAGGAAACAGGGAAAGACAATGGCTTAGAAACAAGCCCAACCCTCCCTGGCACAGCTGGAGAAGCCTCCCAGGCGGGGCGGGGTCCTTTCATACCGTCAGTTATGGTTTCCGCAAGATCCGAGGCATTGGAGATGGTCTTAGTGCCAGTTCACCAGGATTCCCAGAACGCATTTTTTTAAGAATTGGCTTTTGGCATTCCCCTTAGTTCACATGCTTACTTTTTCTCAAAGGTAGAATTTCTGGAATTTCTATCAAGTGTTTGTTCTGCAATAATTTCCCATCACTACAGCCTCTGCTATTAATAAATGATTCGAGGCATAGTTTTCATAAAAATGCTCACATTTAAAATATTCTCAAACTGGTTTGTGTAGTTTAATTTAATCCATGTTAGTAATCAAACACTCTCTTATTCCCTTTGCCAAAACTTTTACTCCCTTTATTCCTTTCTAGTTGTAATTCAAAATTGCGGCACTGTTCAGTAGAATACAGTAAATAGACTTCTGGAATTTGTTAGCTGGAAATTCTATAGACAAGGCCCAGAGAAGTTACTGGTTAGAGTGACTAGCTGAAATACTGACAGTGCCAGGAAGATTTCTGGAAGGCAAGATTAGATTCAGCACCCATCATAGAACTTACTATACTATATTTACATCATAATTTTTTGTTTGTTGATCTGTCTCCATAGATTAACCTTGAGTTCAGAGACCACATATATTCATCTCTGTATCTCCAGGACTTAGCACCACGTCTGGCATGTGGTAGGTGTTCAGTAAATATTTGTCAAATGAAGAATTCAGATCCCCTGACTTGCAGCTCTAGGTTGCTGTTTATTAGGTAGAGGTGGGCACCAAGATAAGGTCCTAAGAATATGGCTGTACAGCCTGTATAGCCTACCGGTAGAAAAAGCTAAATGCATAAAATGACCCCAGAATCATTCTGCATTAGGGAGGACTTGGAATGAGGAAGAGGGATTGGGTGGGTGTTGTGCAGATACTGATGAACTCATTTATATACAACTCTAATGCCCCCAGGATTCACTAGCCTGTAGATACATGAGATCATTTTAACAGGCAAATTCCCCTAACTCCATAGCTGCTTTCTCCTTTGGGTAACTAAAAACTCATCTGTAAATTTCCCTAAGTCCTCAGTGTCTTAGCTACTGCTCACACTGTTGCCATAGTTCCATCTCAGCCCTCAGACTATGTCTCCCTACTGCATTTCCTACTTCGCTAAGCCCTCAGGATTTACCTTCTTTTACCACTAGGGAAATACTTCTGTGGTCTGCTCTTTTTGAAGGGCCTCAGAGCAACTCTAAGCTAAAGGTTAAGTTAAGGGGTTCAGTTGGACCAGTGTTTCACATACAGCTCTCCTGTCCCCAAGACGTGCATTTGCCAGTACAGAAACTGCATCAGTACAGTCACCACACTGTATCTGGAAGCACCATTCTTCCACTTAGCCTCTGTTGCTGACTTCTACTCATAGAATCCAATAGCACAGTACTTGGTGAGCCCTTTCCCTGCCAGGTTCACCAAGTACTACCTTTGCTACATATATTACATTTTGTCATATATGACATAAACCATTTCCACGGGTAGAGAAAATGAAGTTCAAGTACTCCAAGGACCACTTCATTTATTCATCCTTTAAAGTGTAAATCAATTTTTACCTCCACAAAGTTTCCCATCTGCCCCAGTTGAAAATGTATTCTTCCTCTTAACTCCAAATCCACATGGTCTTTATGAATAATTGGCATTCATGCTGTCTTAATCACCTTCTACCTATGATGCCACTCATATTGTTTGCTTTATCAACTCAATAGCAGAGCTCCTTGAGGTTAACAAGCCTTTTGTAAACTTTTTATCTCTCACTGTTTATGCAGAGTAGAAGCTCAAGAAGTATCTGATAAATATTAAACGAGTGATCTGTAATTATGACCCTCTGTTCCATTCACAACACTTTTACCTCCAGATGCAGTAAGATTATCCTGCATGTAAAGATACGTTTTGTGTATCTGTGTGTGCTCTTGTTTGTAGTCAGTCTAGGGGTTAAGTGTAGGGAACTCTTTGGAACTGACAAATGAGCCCATTAAATCTTTTTCTCTTGAGAATTTCGGGCTGAGAGATAGAGCCTACTAGTCTATGGAACTGCAGTACAGCAGCACTCTAGAAACAGTCAAATTTTTTGCTGAGATCCCTGGAGTTACCCTTTCTACTCTTCCAACCTATGGAATTTCTTTAGATTCTGTGAGATGCCATCATATACTTAAATAAATTATTTTGCTTAAACTAGCTAGAAGCAGTCTGTTCTTGACAACTAAGAGAATCTGACCTAAAAGAGTTAGACTGTAAAGAAAGGAAAAGCATTATTCGTGTTATACAAGTATACCACATTTTTTCTTTTTTTTAAGACAGAGTCTCACTGTTGCCCGGGCTAGAGTACCATGGCATCAGCCTAGCTCACAGCAACCTCAAACTCCTGAGCTCAAACGATCCACCTGCCTCAGCCTCCCAGAGCGCTAGGACTATAGGTGTGAGCCACCACGCCCAGCCCCAAGTATACCATTTTTGAAATAAACTAAATCATTATCTTTCCTTCAAGAGAAATGTGACCTTTAGCTCTTTGATGAGTTTGGGACCAAGCTAGTATTTACGACAAGAAAAATCTTCAAAGGTTGTGGGGAAACAAATTATTTTCAAAAACATACATTTTACATACTGTTACACACCAACCTCAGACCATCTATGCTGAGGTGAACAGAAAAACAAGTATAAAATCTGAATAACATTTACTGTATTTAAAGACGCCCATATTGACTCTTCAAAGGGCAGGTGAGGATTTGCATTGATCCAATTTTTAAGGTCTTATCCAATCCCTCTTGGAGCCAGTGGCTAGGAAAATTGTAAATAGGATCTAGTTAAGCCAACTCTCTCTATCCATCCATCCACCCAACCACCAGTTCTTGAGTGTATACTCTGTGAGGTATTGTGCTGGATAATGAAGACATCAAGTAAAACATGATTCCCATCCATCAATAAGTTCACAGAACAGTAGGAGAAAGAGGAAAGTAACTTCAGTGCAATATGAGGTCATATAATATAGTTATGAGCAAAGTATTATGGTAGCCCCTGTCTAGAGAAATGAAAGAAAGGATTCAGAGAGGTGATGTTTGGGCTGCAACTTGAAGCTAAATGGTAAACATTCCCAGGGAAATGAAGCTTCAGCTCCCAATCCAAAGGAGAACAAACTTTGTTCCTATTTCGGTGAGAGAAAAAATAGAGAGAGAATTACACCTAGTAGGGCCTCATAGTGACAAGGCAAAACTATAGTCCAACTCAGAATTCTGGATGGCTGGACTTATGGCACCTAAGGATACAGTCCCTGTGATTTGTTATACTCCAAAACCAAAAAAATCCCACTTTAAACATCTGCCTTATTCCTTATAAGGGATGCTCAACTTCTCTAAGAAGATGGTCCTTAGACTTAAAATTTTGTGGAAGGGAGTTTTAAAGGCCAAATACATTTGTGACAAATGGAATAAAATCTCTGATTTTATGTGACTGAATCTCACATTTACTAATTTTAAAACCAGTTAATACTGAACAATTCTTAAAAGGTAAAGGAAATGTTGGGCCTAATGGTCAAGGATGGGTTTAAGTCATCAGATTATAATTTCAATATAAACATTTTTCTTCATTTTTTACTATATTAGAGAGAGTACCAAGTGATTAAACTACTACCCAAATGTCTTTTTCAAAAAGGGAAAAAAGGACAAAGGAGACACTCCAACATGGATCTGCACCACAACAAATACCTCCTATATAAGTAAGTGTTGAAGTCAAATGTTCTAAGCTACCAACTGAATGTCACGGTCACATATGAAGACTCCTTGCAGTCCCTGCAAGACATTCAGAGTGTAAACAACCCCTGCTATGACCAATTTAAAAAAGAACAATGCTAAGGGTGTGCAAAAGGTAAGGGGAAAAGTTGCCATTTTATGCATAGTTCCTTTAAAGAGTAAGGACCACTTCCTAAGTTTATTAAGAAGTCTTTGTCCTTTTTTTCCTTTAGAGATACAATAAAAAGAAGGGCATGAAGGCACAAAAAGGGAACTTGAAATCCAACTGCAATAATTACTCATGGAATCGCCTCCTTTCTATGTAACATTATAGAGACCTCCTCAGTAAAAAAAGTTTATGCTTTTACAAAAGAACTCTGTATCATTGTGTGGCACAACTACTGCTTCCTTAGACCTTTCAGAAAATGATCCCTAAGTATTTCTTACAAATCCCATAGGGTTTCCTACATTAAAATAAAGCAACAGAGTTCAAGCCTAGAATAACTTCAGAGCTGCAGCAATGAGTTGTACTAGTTCCAAAGGATGAATTTTCTGCTCCAAATACTGGAACAAAGGACATCATCACATGGACACAAGTCAATTTCACAGTGATGGACATACACAGGTGGATGATCTGAGGCACAGGCTGTGATTGGTCGTAAAAAAATGAAAGGTAGAACTGGGTCCAAAATCCACGTCTCATGATTTCTGGTCCTTATTCAGCCAGAGTTGAGTGGCTTTATATTTGTGTGTTATACACATTTTGGATCTTTCTCAAGAGTTTTTCTGGGTACAGCATGATAAAGGAAACCAGATATTTGGCTCCATAAAGGTATTCAGGTATAGGTGCCATGCTCATGGTAAGCTTTGTACCATAGAATATCTGAGATCTGCTGCCACAGAGATAACTATGGTCCTATGATGACTATTAGAGTTCAGTTTTCAAATTTTTGGGAATAATCTGATCATAGCCTTTCCTTCTTGTTACATTATAGGACAGGAACTTGGAGTATTCAGTTAAGAGGCTTTCCCAGTAACAGGTGATGTCATCCATCTGCAGGTGGTTCATAATAAACTGGCTTCCCCTGGAGACAAGATTAACAAGAATATTTTAAAGCACAGAATTGAATAACAATAGTATCCTATATTTGAGTGCTTACTTGTGCCAAGTAATATTTGGTATACTTTAAATGAATTAATTCAATTTGATCCTCAGAACCAACCCTATAGCCATTATTTCCACATACATGCATATAGCAACAGAACTTAACACTATTTTCCTTAAAAACAAACACATACAGCCAATGCTCATAAAAGTACTTAATTATGTCACATATTTCAGTCTATTTCTATAAAGCTTGGGGCATATGTGAATGTGTATGTTTCCGCTACCCAGGACAGCTTTAATTCTGAGTTATCTCTGTATAATGAGGATGAAATACAGATATCACCATGATAACAATATTCAGGTAACTTTAGCTAGGGCAAAATGGGGATGATAAAGTAAAGTGAAAAAGGGAAAATGAACAGAACTTACCTTTCAGCAATTTCTTGAGCTACATCATCATTTGCTTTTACAAACTGCAACAGCTCTCTAAAATGAAAAGAATTATTAGACTCTGAAATACAGACCAAGCTCATTGGTACTAAATTATAAAGACCACAGATTAAGGTGTATGATTAATCTCTAGGTACATGGATGATGGATTATTTCCTTAGAGCAAAGATATCAGGGTTCTCGAAAGAAGAAAATAACTAAAAACAAACAAAAAAGCCCACACACAGAGGTTCAAGGCAGCCCATTGTAGAATAGACTATTTCATCCTGTCTCCAAATTCTTGCTGTGTCCCCCAGAAAAGGGAACTGGGTTCACACTTCTGGCCCTTCTCTATGCCTCTTCCTAGCTTCTCTCACAGCATGAGAGAAAACCTGCCTAAGTTTCACTGGGATCAATTCTCATGCTGTATCTGAAAATCCCTTTGACAATAAAGCAAGATCAAATATCCCTATCTTTAGTCTTTGAAAGATTAAGGCTTTTTTACTTCATAGTGTCCTGAATGTTTCATTTGAAACCAGCATTAAAGCACTTTTTCAAATTAAATACCACTTATAACCTACTGGGATAATAATGCAATATTATATGTGCAAACCAAATAAAAGAAATAAAATGCTTTCAATGGAAAAAAATCATCAGGAGTAAAATGCTCTTAATGGCAGGACATAAAAGGCAGGTTACAAGGGTCATTAGAAACTCTGCATTTGGGGACAGCTGCTTACTGGACATTGGAGAGATCCGTTTTGACTGGGATGTAGTGAACCCATGGCTTCAGTTGTGGATAGAAGAATTCTAGCCACTCGTCACCAACATGGAAAACAAGTGAGCCACACAGGAAGAGGTGTTTGAATCGGAAACTTGCAGCTACACCCCGAAAATTGAACAGATACCTAGGGAAAAAAGAGCAAAATACATTTGCTATTATATGCCTGCTGCCACAAATATGACTTGTTTTTTGTTTTTTTGTGTTTTTTTTGCTGATTCCCTCCTCCCCTTTTATGATTCCTCTCCCATCTTCCAATTTTGGTTTTCAAGGACACTTAGAATGTCCCTGTGAGGTTTCTGTAAACTCTTTGCTTTTCCAGAGTTGGGGCTACAGGTTGTTCTAGGAATGTCAAGGTGAGAGAAAGAGGGGGATACTTTCCCCAGACAGGGCTATATAGGGTCAGGAGTGGGGTGCTGGGTAGGAAGGATAGAAGGCTCAGAAGGAAATGATGGCCTGTTGTGACATACGTCAAAAATCAGGAGTGAAAAAAAACTTCACAAGCTTGTGTAGGCCTAATGTCTCTAACTAGCTATGGCTCCCCAAGGTCTTGTTTTTCCTCTAGTGTACCCACCCCATCTTGTCAAAGGCATCCCTGTTTCCAGGACATCATTCTGAAGTCTGGAGAGGAAAACAAGGCAAACCTAATCAATTTTCACAGAAATGCCCCTGGAAAAAGGCTGCCTTAGAAAAGAACTACATTTTCTTATCAGCATTTCTCATGCACATACTGTCTCCAGCCAGAGTTGCTTTTACTCTTAGCTCCCACTGTGAATGTCATCAGCATTCACATCTCTGAATCCTCCAATGTTCTCTTCCAGACCTGGCTTTACCTGTTTATCTAATTCTTGGCATTTAATTCTAATATTTATTAACTTGAGACATATGTAATCTAATTTCAACTACCGGTGGGTAGGGCATAGAGAGGCAATCCCAACACTGTGATTACTAGCAAGCAGCTCTCTGGAAGCAGAGACCATATTCCATTTGTCTATATAGTCCCTGTAGAACTCAGGTAAGTACACAGTAGGCCCTCAGGAAAAGCCAGCTAAATGAATTAATGTGACTTTCATATACCCTAGCTGGGCCTTTGTATTAAAGTTCTCACCCACAGTGAAGCTATTATACTTCAAAAACAATACGGAAACTAAGAGAGGCAGCAAATCTTACTTGTATTTGCAGTGATCCACGAGATGGACATCCTTAGCAGCTGGCTTTCCCAAGGTATCCTTTATGTGAAATGAAAGTTATTAGTATTAGTAGTAATAGCATTTATTGGTGATCACTGTGCAGCAAGCTTTGTTAAACATTTCATCAACATTATCACATTTAAGCCTCATAATGAACATACTCAGGAGACATTATCCCCATTATACAAATGTAGAAGGCAAGTCTTTGAGAATTTGAGAGACTTGCTCAGGGTCCTAAGTAGAAGAATGAGGGTTTTAACCCGTGTCTGTCTGATTTTAGAGTTTAAGCTCACTTGAAGCCATGTTGCCTCCTTTGAACTCAGAGGTCACAGGCTGCAGCACATTTCACTCTGCGTAAATTATACACAGAGAAGTCACAAGTGCTGGCTGGTGGGCTTGGGGGGTAGCCCCCATACACACAAATTTCGTTGGGTATGCAAAGTATTTAAAAATAAGTATTCAATAAGTATTATAGGTAGTAGGATATTTCTTGCAAAACTCTAGATTTCTAACTTTTCTTGGAGAAAAACAAAACAGGAAGATCTGGTAAACTGGGCTCCTCTTCCCATTTGGCAGCAATCAACAGTAACTGTTAGTGTTCTCCCTTGCTTACTCCTTTGCAAGGAGGTCAGGAGAACTCCTGACCTCGAGCAATCCTCCTGCCTCGGCTTCCCAGAGTGCTAGGATTACAAGCATGAGCCACAGTGCCTGGCCTCAGGTCAGGAGTTTGATACCAGCCTGAACAAGAGTGAGACCCCATTTCTACTAAAAATAGATAAAATTAGCTGGGTGTGGTGTGTGCCTCTAGTCCCAGCTACTTAGGAGGCTGAGGCAGGAGGATCGCTTGAGCCCAGGAGTTTGACGCTGCAGTGAGCTATCATGATGCCACTGTACTCTAGCCAGGGTGACAGAGTGAGACTGTCTCCAAAATAATAAAAAGAAAAAACTACAACAGAGACCATATGACCTGCAAAGCCTAAAATATTTACCATCTGGCCCTTTACAGAAAAAGTTTGTGACCTAGGGTTTAAACTTTCAAAGTAATATAATATACTAGTAATAATATGGTCAGAAAAGCAATGTGAGTTTAATAAGAAGAATTTACATGTATGCTAATTCTGGTTCATGGAAGTTTCTCCATATTCATCTCACCACTGAGTGGAAACTTAATCTCAAATTCTACCCAGGTGGCAATATTCTTTGAATGAGAATGTTCACTGCTGTAGTTCTAGTCAGATGATTAGTAATTACTTTCATAGATTTCCAAGCCTGGTTTTTGGTATATTCTGCATCAACAAGTTTTGGATTTTTCCGAGATAGAAGAATGAGAGGATCTCGTTCTGGACTTGTCCTATAAAAGAAACACATGACATAAAACTGTATGGCCTATACCATAATACTGTTCCCAATCTCTGAAGATGAGCAGTACTAGGATCCGATGCAATTACTGTTTGCCTAGGTGGACAATTCGCTGGTTCGTGATAGCACAGGAGGGGGATACCGGGTACTGTAGCATCTAGGTGGTCCGGGGCTGGTCTCACTGTACCTTCAGAGATGGAGATGCTTGCATCTGGTCTTGCAGGGTATGTTGTTCTGGTCACTACAGCGCTATCCCAGGGAATGATTTCCCTTTTAGGAAAGTTCGTGTAGCTTCTATAATCACCAATACTCATGGTTGTGTGACTAGGTAATCACCACTCACCAAAACAGCCACATGACCTGTGATGTGTATGCTTTGTAAAGTCTAGTATAGTATTTAAATTAAAAAAAAAAACCCTCAAAAAGTAAAGGTCTTAAAAATCTAAAGAATGTATGTGAAAAAAGGCCTAGTTATGGTCCAAGTAGCAGAGGGTTTTGATATGTGAGGGGTCATGGATCCCTTGAGAATCTGGTAAGAACTATGGACTAAATGCCCACCCCAGAAAAACAAACACATCCCCATATAATTTCAAGGAGGTTCTAAAACTCTGGAAGCCCAGACATGGGCTCCACATTAAGAATATGTAATCTCTAGTTGATAAAAATAGTCCTCTGGATTATAAAAAATAAAGAAAAAAAATAAAATTAAAAACAAAAAAAAAAGAATCTATAATCTCCAGGTCTGAGAATCAAAGAGGTTGGTAAGGAACAGGAAGCAGTGGCTGGTTGGTTGGCCCATTTGCATCCTGAAGTCCACTGCCCAAGCAAAGAGGAGGGCAAATAGAGGGTATAACCTCTGGCAAGGACTCACTACAAAAGCTACAAAACCCTTCTCCCTTGATGGTCTTTTCTATCCATCTGTTCCACTCATAATTATTATATATCTACATATATAATATGTACTGTTCTTGGCATTGGGAATATGGAGCTGAACAACACAGCTCCACATTACTATCTTTCCATTTCCCTCCTCTCTTTCCTGCCCACTTCCCTTTCCATTTTTGCCTGTCTCAGTCTGTGCTCTTAACCATTTTGGCAGCCACATGGTCTGTTCTGATGAGAAAGGCAGTGAGGAGATCTGGTGATGAGTCCCCTCTGCATTAACTAGCAGAGTGTCCATGGCATGATCATAAGCTACTCCCAGGAAACTATAAACAAGAAGACACCCATCTGTTCCGTTCAACATTATTATTTTTTATACTATATTCTTTTGTTATTTCGTGTATGTGAATTTAAGTTATTCACTAGCGCTACAACTTGTTCTGTTAAACATTATCTAGTCAATGCCAAACACACTTGTGGCACCCTGTAAATATCTGCTGAATGACTAGATGGATGAACTCTACTTCTTTGAATTTCAGTTCAATTAAGAGTGATTTGTACAAATAATCTGAATTCTCTAGTTTAAAATTGTGATTCCACATTTATTTCCTAGTTATCTTAGTTTTCTGTTTAAGCTACAGAGTTCATCATACCCTCAAGATTACTTACACTGTACATTACTTGGAAGAATATCTTTGTAAAATATCAGAAAATATACTCACCTCGATCCTCGGAAATATGCTGTAGAATTTTTCATTTTCCATGGCCACTGTGCTGCTGACCTACAAATACAGATTTTGATTAGTTTTTCTCTCAATTATATAAGGATATGTTTCAACCATATCTGAAGATTAGTTCAGAGCTTTGTATTTTTAAATAAGTCTGATCAAGGGTTACTCAAAGGAAAAAGTCTTAAAAGATACTATGGTCCCTGTTGTTGTTATTTCATTGCTCTGAAAGTGCTAGCCAGTTATATCTATGTATCTGTTGCCCCATTAATAAGTTAACAGCATTGAAAGAAAAGCCCCCAAACCCTGAATGACATGTATAGGGCTGTTTCATTTGGTACAGTAAGGATTCCTCTCTACTTTAAGTAGAATACTAATGATAAAATTAATATGTGAAGACAACTACAAAAAATATCAAAATTGAATAAAAGGGCAATCACTGTCTAATTTCACATTTTTGATGGGTAGAAGGTATCATCAGATTTAGTCTGATATTTGCAAAGCACCTTAGTATTCTTAAAACTGTATTAAGTGTTCTGTAAAGATTATGTCCTTGAAACTCAGGTCTTAGTACACATTACCATGACCAGCCTTCCTTGCTGAAACTGCTAGCTCACAGATGCATCATTCTTAACTTTCTTCGTAGGAACCCTCCCTGCACAGAAGTCTGCGCAGCATCTTCTTCTGAAAAAGGACGGGAAGGCTCAACTGGAGTTAATGAGGGATTGGTGGACTGCATTATAGTAATGGAGAAACTTAGGATATAAACTTTTGAGGTATATATCCTTTTCAGATATATATAGTGCCATGTTACTCATTTTCACCCAGCTGAGAGCATTGCTCAGTATTTTCCAGGCCCTCAGACTCTACTCTCGGCTAACCTGGCTCATCCTCTAGCCCTTTCTTGCTGGATCACCTTTACCTGATTCTCCACTCCAAGGCTAGCACTATCTCTTATTTTCCCCCATACTTCCTCTTACCAAAATATAAACACTATTGCACTGGATTTCTTGGGGATTTTTTGTTACTGGTAGAAAAAATATTATATGCTCATTATATAAAATTCTAATGGAAAAGTATAAAGATAAAAGTAAAAAATCATGTGGAATCTCCCTATCCACAAATAACAATGTAACATTTTAGTGAAGAATTTCTTCCAGTCATTTTTCTATATTAGTGGCTTTCAAATGGGGATGATTTTGCCCCTCCCCCTAACCCAGGTGACATCTGGCCATACCCATAGACATTTTCTGATTGTCACTACTGGGGAACTGCTACTGGCATTTAGTAAGTAGAGGCCAGAGATGCTGCTAAACATCCTACAATGCACAGGACAGCCGCCATGACAAAGAATTATCGAACCCAAAATGTCAACAGTACCCAAACTGAGAAACCTTGCTCTATATGACAGGGGTCATACCATATATGCTATTAAGTAACATTCTTTGTAGGAAATATAGTACAAATAATAACAATAGCCAACACCTATATAGTACCTTACTATGTTCCAGATACTGTTCTAAGTGCTTTATATATATCAAATCATTTTCACAACCTCATGCAGTAGCTTTTATTTTACCTATTTCACAGAAGAGGTCGTTAAGCAGTTAAGCAACTTGTCCAGAGTCATACAGCTATAATAATACGAGCCAGCATTTGAAGCCAGATTCCAGTTTTTAAGCCCCATTCCACCTTGCTTTTCTATCTACACACAGTATTTCATTTTATAGTCATGTCATAATTTACTTCATCCCATACTGATGGGCCTTCAGGTACTTTCCAACTTTTTGCTCTAAGAAACAACAGAGTAGTGAACATCCTGTATATACATCTTTGTATACTTGTCTAAAAACTCAGGATACATTCTAGATGTAGAATGGTTGGGACAAAGAATATATAATATACATTTTCAATTTTGATATATATTGCCAATCTACTTAAAAAAATGTATCAGTTTATACTCAAAGTTACTTCTCTTCATCTCCTTGGACCCTGGGAAAGCTGTGTTTAATATACAAAGACTGTTTACTCTTTCCTTCATTCTCTCTACCACCTACCCACTCCTCAAGAGACCTATGTTAGGACTTCTCTTCTCCAGGCGAGTGCTAACAGTGGCCACCACCACAGCCTGATACTGCCTCTTTTTAAAACTCTCTCTGACAATAAAAAATGAAATCTTTAAATCTACAAGAACACTGAATTCTTCTATAGAACAAATGTAAGTCAATGGGGACAAAGCCCCAAAAGATTATAAAAATAGACAGAAAAATGGCAGGCAAACATCAATCAATGCAGATAGATGAACAAGGAAATTATTAGTTTCAAGGTACAAAATGAATTCACATTGCTAGATATTCTGAATAGAGGGCTTAAAAAAATTGTAATTCTGTAACTGTGAATAAACACAGTTGGACAAAAGGGGAAGGCATTAAACAGAAAAAATGTTCATATAAGATTAGATTTTAAGACATATTCTATCTCCCTAAAGACTGCTTGCGAGTTTATAAGGGAGAAAATAATAACTACATAGTGGAGGAAACGAATAACATCACTAATGAGGGGTGGATGGATGCAAAATCACTTATGTAGGCAATTGGGCCAGCAATACATAAACTGAATCCAATCATGAGGGAATAGACAAAGCAAAACTGAAGAACATCTGAAAAAAAAAAGTTAATGTCCTGAAAGAGAAAGACAGACTGAAGAGCTGTTCTGGATTAAAGGAAACAAAAAAGACATGACAACTAAATGCAATCTGTGATCTTGGATGTATCCTGTACTAGAGGGGGGAAATGCTATATAGGATATTATTGGGATAATTAAGTATTATATCAATTTTTTTTTTTTTGAGACAGAGTCTTACTCTGTTGCCCGGGCTAGAGTGCCGTGGCGTCAGCCTAGCTCACAGCAACCTCAAACTCCTGGGCTCAAGGGATCCTCCTGCCTCAGCCTCCTGAGTAGCTGGGATTACAGGCATGTGCCACCATGACCAGCTAGTTTTTTTTTCCTATATTTTCAGTTGGCCAATTAATTTTTTTCTATTTTTAGTAGAGATGGGGTCTTGCTCTTGCTCAGGCTGGTTTTGAACTCCTGACCTTGTGCGATTCTCCCACCTCGGCCTCCCAGAGTGCTAGGATTACAGGCGTGAGCCACCGTGCCTGGCCTATATCAATAGTTTCCTGAATTTTCTATTTGTAGTGTGGTTATGAAAGACAATATCCTTGTTTTTAGAAACTCCACATTAAAGTATTAAAGGATAAAAGGTCATAAGGGATGCAACACACTCTCGAATAGTCCAGAAAACAACAAATTACGTATATATTACATATGTAGCCCAACTGTCCCTAAAGAAAATAATGAAGTAAATTATTATCCATGCAATGGAGTGCTATGCCACTGTTAAAAATAATGAGGTCAGGCCAGGCGCGGTGGCTCACACCTAATCCTAGCACTCTGGGAGGCTAAGACGGGAGGATCGTTTGAGCTCAGGAGTTTGAGACCAGCCTGAGCAAGATTGAGACCCTGTCTCTACTAAAAATAGAAAGAAATTAGCTGGACAACTAAAAATATATAAAGAAAATTAGCTGGGCATGGCGGCGCATGCCTGTAGTCCCAGCTACTCAGGAGGCTGAGGCAGGAGGATCCCTTGAGCTCAGGTGTTTGAGGTTGCTATGAGCTGGGCTGACGCCATGGCACTCTAGCCTGGGCAACAAGACTGACACTTTGTGTCTAAAAAAAAGAAGACCAGTCAAAAATAATGAGGTCAATTCTTAGGTACTGACATGGAAAAATTACTTAGAAACATCAATTAGTGAGAGAAAAAGTTGCCTGTGTTATACACATTTATAAATTTTCATGAGGATATACACATTTCATGACCAGTAAAAATGGTTTTAAAGATTTTGAAAACAAAGTAGCTGTATAGCATGTGGTAAAAGAGCTACAAAAAGAAAGAATAATGTGAAAAGGGCATTTGCAAGTACCTGAAAAAATTAATGGATTAGAAAACTAAGACCGAGCCAAGAATAACTTAAAGAAAAAAAGCTTAAAGATAGGCCTTTCCCTCCCACCCTCAGGAATTCATGTTCAAAACCAAAAAATAAATAAGAAAGGATGATCTCAGTGTTGGGAGAACATAGGTAATATTAACTAGTAAAGTAGAGAGGGTAATGCACTTGGAAACCTGGACTTCAGGCCCAGATTTGCCTCTGACCTTGACCAATCCACTTAACCTCTCTGGGCATTCATTCATTCCCTTATCCCTGAAATAAAGGATTGGATAAAGGTAATTTCCAGTTCCAGTTCTGTGAAGTCTGAGACCAAGTTTTTGTTTGTTTGTTTTGTTTTGGTTTGTTTTTTTAATTTCCAAATTATATCTGTTGTAGAAGAGACTTGCTTTTTTAACCAAAGGGTTCTAACCACCACAGAGAACTGTGGTCTTATATGTTTCCTCAGAAATGAAAGATTCTCTTAATCTCCTTTGAATCTTCAGCCACAATTTGTAAAGGTGACAGATATTTGTGGAAATAAGGTTGAATGAAATTATAGCTTTCCTTACACCTGAGAGAAGACCTATTTAGACTGTGTTTCTTCAAGTTCCCTAAGTAAGCACCAAAGTTGTTTGAATCTTTAATGTAAAATGTAGCTAGGTAAGAAATACCTACAGTTTGGATGACCTACACAATCTAAATTCTGAAATAATAGCAGGATGGAGTCAGCAGGCCAAGGCCTGTCTCAGTCATGAATCAGAGAGGATCTGCAATCAGCTTGTACTTGAGATACTTATGGAACATTTATGTTCCCTCATACCCACCTAAAGTACTAGGCTGTCAATTATCAAATACATTTATGTTCTGCCAAATAATTTTCTATCCTCCTCTACAACATGGTCATTTACTTTTTCTTTTTATAAAAGTAATTCACTCTTTATTTTTTTGCAATAAAGAAATAGAACACTATAAATTCACTCTTGAAGAATCTTAACAGTACAGAAAAATTTAAAGAAAAAAAGGCTCCTATACTCCCTCCCACAGAGGCATTGTTGCTAGTTTAGGATAGATTCTTCTGCCCTTTCCTATGGAAATGTAAATATTTTTATACATGTACAAAAGTACTTATACTATAACCAGTTTTCTTTATTTTTAACTTAAAAGTTTGTCATTTCAAACAAGATTGAGACCCTGTCTCTACTAAAGAGAGTAAATAATTTTTTCAAAGTAAATAATTGGTTAGATTCTACTGCTCATTTCAAGAAAACCCAAAAAGAGGAAAAAAATTTAAACCTCTTTAAAGGACCTACCTTATCAGATCTTCTCTGAAGAGGTCCCACCGTCCAAGACCTGTAGGATAAATTGGCCAAACAGCAGGGCCCCCTTCCCAAAATGTCCAAGCAGGATACATGATATCATGGTACTCTGATGTCTTCGACAAAAACATAAAGGTCATTCTAAATCAGTCTTGGAACAGAGTTAGAAGAAGCAAATTGCATTCATGCCACAAGATGTGGACAAGGCCTTGCTCTTGTGTCACACTGCCAAAAGATATATTTTACCAAGTTTGCAAAGTCTAGATTCTAGACATTAAAAGGCAAAAGTGACAATGGGTTAAAATTCTTGGGCTCACTGAATTCTAGAATTTAGAATCACATTAAAGGTCAACTTTTCAACTCCCCAAAATTCTGTTTTCTAGAAGATAATCACTGTTAAGATTTTTAATTTAAGGAAACAATATACCCAATTCTGAATAATCATGGAGCTCTCTCATTGTTTAATTATTACTCTTGGCGTTTACACTGTCTTAGCAGTTCTTGGTTATTTCCTAGTGGTTCTTTTGAGAACAAGAACCAGGAAATACAGTGTAATGGTTAAGAGTGTGAGGCCTGGCACGGTGGCTCAAGGCCAGGCGCGGTGGCTCACGCCTGTAATCCTAGCTCTCTGGGAGGCCGAGACGGGCGGATTGCTCGAGGTCAGGAGTTCGAAACCAGACTGAGCAAGAGCGAGACCTCGTCTCTACTATAAATAGAAATTAATTGGCCAACTAATATATATAGAAAAAATTAGCCGGGCATGGTGGCGCATGCCTGTAGTCCCAGCTACTGGGGAGGCTGAGGCAGGAGGATTGCTTGAGCCCAGGAGTTTGAGGTTGTTGTGAGCTAGGCTGACGCCAGGGCACTCACTCTAGCCTAGGCAACAAGTGAGACTCTGTCTCAAAAAAAAAAAAAAAAAAAAAAAGGTGGGCTCCTGGCTGCATGAGGTGGTTCATGCCTGTAAGCCTAGCACTCTGGGAGACTGAGGCGGGAGAATCACTTGAGCTCAGGAGTTGAAGACCAGCCTGAGCAAAAGCGAGACCTCATCTCTACTAAAAATAGAAAAAATTAGCTAGGAGTGGTGGTGCGCACCTGTAGTCCCATCTACTTGGGAGGCTGAGGCAGGAGGATCACTTGAGCCTAGGAGTTTGAGGTTGCAGTGAGCTACGACGAATGCTGCTACTGCACTGTAGCTCTCTAGCCAGGGTGACAGAGTCAGACTCTGTCTCCAAAAAAAAAAGAAAGAGTATGGTCTCTTGAGATAGATCATGTGAGTCTGAATGCTTACTCTACCTCTTTATGACTCCAGGCAAGTTTACTTTATCTTTCTATTCTTCAGTGTCCTTATCACTATAATGGGGAAAATAATAATTTGAATAATATGATCTAATAAGCTTATTTTGAATATTAAATGATTAATATATATAAAAAGCTTAGAACAGTGTCTGGCACATAGTAAGTACTCAATAAGTGTTAGCTAGTGTTATCTAACACTGTGGAGTGTACATTCATTGATGGGAGTCAGAAGTGCCAATGGGGGGAGGAGTGTTATCACACATCTTTTGAAGAAAGTGTGAAACCATTTGTTCCCTTTTTGTGGTTACTTCTGTTGAAAATCTGGCTACTGATAAACCTCTAACTCTACCGTTTCTTCCATTTGAAATACATGCCTAATATGCTGTTGGCCTTCTCTCAAATACTTAAAAGAAAGTATGTGATTCATCAATCACATTAACAGTTGTTCAATAGGAGCTGCACAATTAACTCTAAAGTTTACTGACTAAAATCCTTCCCTTGGAAACTAAGAGTCACTGATTTAAAAAAAATAGGAGGGAAGTAAAGTTGAAAGGAAAGTTAGTGTACTGATGGTCATACTTTATTATCCACAGAAACAACAGACAAATAACAAACAATGAAGTCCATACTGACTTACATGGGAGCCTCTATCTATTCTTCTAGGAGAGTTTCGTGACAAACAATGGGACCAAGCACTTTTGAGAAATGAAGGTAAACCATAGGAAATGCAAAACAAATGTGGCCTCAGCCTACTTGCAACATAGGAAATAAACAAATCTAGAGAGAAAGTAAACTATGATAAAGAAAAAAGTGGAGATAAAAGGTCCTTCTGCTTTGGAGAAACCAAATCAGAGATGGTACTCCTTTTCCCAAAGTCCATAAAGTTTTCCTAAACTCACTCTTTCCCCATAGAATCTTCCATACACTTTCTTCCAGCTTCCCCACTCCCTCCTCCCAAAGGTTTCATACTAGTCTCTGGGGAAGCAAGACCCATCCCAGACAATACACCATTTACGTCCGTGGTCCCCAACCTTTTTGGCACCAGGGACCAGTTTCATGGAAGACGATTTTTCCACAGGGTGGTGGGGGGAGTAGTTGGAGCTCAGGTTGTGATGTGAGCAATGGGGAGTGGCTATAAATACAGATGAAGCTTATTTAGCTCCCACAGCTGCTCACCTCCTGCTGTGTGGGCCCTCCTCCAACTCTCCCCCCAACTCCTAAGTTTCATAGAAGATAATTTTCCACAGACTGGAGTTGGGGTGGAGGTGGGGGTGAGGGGTAGCTCAGGCAGTGATGCGGCCAAGTTCCTAACATGCCACGGATCAGTGGTCCAGAAACCTGAGCACTAACAAGATATTCACTGTCCCAAGTTCTCAGAGCCTACAGGTACATCCTAGCTACTCCTACCCTCCATGATGAGACACAAAGATTACCCTCCCACATACTCTTTAGTTCCCCAAATTCTGCTTTTCTAAAGGATACACACTGTTAGGGTTTTTAGTTTAAGGAAATAATATACCCCATTCTGAATAATCACAGAGCTCTCTCGTTTAACTGTTATTACTTTTGGTGTTTACACTGTTTTACTAGCTCTTGTTTACTTCCTAGTGGGTCTTTTGGGAGCAAGAACCAGGAAATGCAGTGCAGTGGTTAAGAGTGTGGGCTCTTGAGACAGATCATATGAGTCTGAATGCTTACTCTACCTCTTTACAACTCCAGGCATGTTTATTTTATCTTTATATGTCTCAGTTTCCCTATCATCATAATGGGGGAAATAATAATAATATCAATAATATGATCTATCTAATAGTTTTATTTTGAATATCAAGTGAGTTAACACATGTAAAAAGCTTAGAACAGTGTCTGGCACATAGTAAGTACAAGTAAGTGGCCTATCCTCTCAATGTACTGCTTAGACACAAATCCTGTGGAGTAACCTGGTACCTTCAGGTTCACTTTCTGTCACCCCTGGGATTCGATGACAGAGAAGACAGATGATACCCAGCACCATGGCTGATATATACATGGTACAAGCTCAATAAACATTATTTGAATGAAGGGATATCCTAACTCCAAGCCTATGAGCTTCCTTGGGGCCCTCTCTCCCATGCTCTGTAGGATCTATGAGCCCCACCTCCAATGTCTCGTAGGTTCCTCAGGCCTCTCACTCTGTAGCCTCCATCCCTAGCACTATAGACACTTAAGCAATCTTGCTCAAATTACCTGTGGGTTCCCAACTCTACCTCCTTAGTCTTACTGCTCAACCACTGTGAAGCTAACAGGGACACAGACCCATTCCTGGACCTCAGGCCTCATCCTCACCATTACCCATCAGTCTCTGTCACAGAACAAATGACCTTCTGCTCGTACCCTACAGGACAACCCTCCATCCCTCCACGTGGCCCTTCTCATACTTACCTTACTGAAGGAGAAGACAGGGATGGCAGGCTCCATCCATTTAGGAACCTGAGGATAATCTCGCACATTGATCACCATCTCCATGTCAGGGAGGCGCCCAATAACTTCCAAAATAAAGTGCTCAACACCACTACACCTGTCAAACAGAAATACCAAAATTCACCAAAGCATTGCCTGCAGGCTCTAGGATAAGGCAGGCTCCCATTCACACTTTAAAATAAGACAAGCCAGTGTTCAGATCATCAGTCTACCACAAAGTTTCCTGAAACCAATGCTGCTAAAGCAACTATTCACTTTTTTATATTGTGCAAGTTATCGTTCCTAGCTAAGTTGCTCTGGTTTCCAATACTTAATAAAATTTTCCAAATAAATTATCATTGCTTTGAAGAAAGTATTATTGCCACTTCTACCACTTCTCTATTCATTCCAGTTTTTTTCTTTATTTCTCTTATATGGAATAGTTTAATTAGTAAGTAAGATATAAATTGATAGGAACTTGAAAAGCTAATTTTCTAACTGTGTGTCTGATTTTGCTTCTCACAAAGACACTATTTTTATTTCCACTATAATTAAGTCTCAAAGTTTATGAGAAAAGATAGAAAATCTTTCAGTACCTTCAACTTGAATATAGAACAATATCAAAATCAGTTCTGCAAGCCAGAAAAAGGGTTAAATACATGATGATGAATATTGTAACATAGCTTTCTGACTAGAGTTCCTGGGAATCCTCAGAGTATTTCTTGAAAGAAAGAGAAGATACATTGACAGTTTAGCTTGTTTCTGCCTCATTCTTGAGGTCCTGACCATCACTATACTAGGGACAGCATTCCAAGGCTTGATCATAATTTTCTGGCAGCATGGAAATGACTGATTTAAATATTGTTTTATATATGGGGAGATAACTGCAAAAAATATCATAGTTCATAAACAAAGGAAAAGATGCTCAACTGTATTATAAAGAAATGTCAATGAAACTAGATGCCCATGAAACTAGATGCCAATTTTGCCAATCAGATTGGCAAAGATCAAAAAGTCTGATAATGCACAGTGTTGGTAAGGGGGTGAGGTCCATTCAAAGTTTGTGAAACAAGGGTGGTGGCAGTGTAAATAGGCGTGACCTCTTTGGAGGATGATTTGCTTTATTTGTCAAGATTTTAAAAAGACATTAATTGGCCTAGTTATTTTACTTCTAAAAATTTAGCCTACATATATGTTTACATGAGTGTTCAAAGGTATATGTGTAAGAATATTCACTACAGCATTAGTGTTTGCATTACCCAGAAATTAAAGGGGTGTACTGAGGAATAATTATAATATCTACTGATAGAGGACTGAATAAAGAATTCTATGTAATGGATTAACATGCATCCATGAAAAGAATAAGGTGCTCTCTATGTACTTTATGGAACAATCTCAAAATCTGCTATTATATGGAAAAGAAATGTAATCTGCAGAACAGAAGATAAAGCATGTTCTAATTTGTTGATGATTCTAGATGCCTTATATGCATAGATTATTTCTAGAAGGACATACAAGAAACTTGTAATTCTGACTATTTTTTGATATATGGTCTCAGGGACTAGAAGTGTCTAAGATGGAAGAGAAACTTCCTTTTCACTGAACATCTTTTTGAGTTATCAAAAGAATTGTTGCAGAATAATTTATACAACTAAAACACTTGTATTTTCTTTCACAATTTGGCTTTTAAAAGAGCACTCTCTCATATATTGATGATTTCATTTTATATAAAACTCTAGAAAATAATCCATAATGAGAGAAAGCAGATCAGTGGATGCTTAGGGGTGGGGCTGGGGGAAAGGCATGACAGGGAGGGGCAGGAGAGAGGAAATGCAAAGAAGCCCAAGGAAACTTTTGGTTGTGATGGGTATTTTCATTATCTTGGTGTAAACATACATTAAAATTTATTAAAGTATATAATTTTTTAATTGATAAACAATTACATATATTTATGTGGTATAATGTGACGTTTTGATATATGTTTATACTGTGGAATCAAGCTAATATATTTACCACCTCATGTACTTATTGTTTTTTCTTGTGAGAACATTTAAATTGTATGTTAAATGTGTACAGTTTATGTCAACCACACCTCAATAAAGCTGTTATTAAAAACACCATTACTCCTCATCTTTGAAATGACTTCTCTCTAGCATTAATTAGATGGACTTCTGGTGCCTCAGTAAAATCCCTCTGCTCGTCCTTGAAATGCTGAGTTTATATTTTATTTTGTTCAAAACTGAATTTTTAAAATGTCATATGGGCTTTTGAAACTGGCTGAATTAAAAGTATCTACTTGGTTGATAAGGTACTTCTGGGTGAAGAAAAGAAAAAAAATGAAAAAAAGTTAAATAATTTTTTTAAAAATGAAAAAAAAATTAAAATAAATAAATAAATAAAAGTATCTAGGTCTAGAAAGATACTATTTGTAGCTAGATGGGAATCTTTGAGATATCATACAACTGTGTCCATTTCATTAAGGACAGTAGGTTGGAATATTTCATTCTACTTGTATTTTGTCTGTCTTTGTTTTCCTTAGTTGTGTATGTTGCTGAGAAAGGGAATTTGCAGTGTCATTGGAAATACAAATTATTTTATTGCCAATTAAAGATCCTATACTCCCTTTAGAATAGTTCTAAGCTCATAATTCTAACCAAAATGCTAAGATCAGGAAAAAAAGAATTGTGCCTTTCAGAAACTTTGAAAGCATTTCATTTCATCTGGGAATTAAATTGTTCAGCAAACTATTAAACATTGGATAAGCTTTCAAAATCCAAAAATGTGTTTATTTGTATTTTATTTCTTATGTGAGGAAATTAAAAATTCCCCCATGCTCATAATTTGTACTTAAAGTCTCTATTATCCCAAATAATGAAACAAATGTCTGTTTAAAATAACCTCAAGGATTTTACCCACTATCCCCTTATTTCCCCCTAACACCTGACAACCAAAACATAACTGATTTCCTCAAGGTTGTGTGATATTAAGTGATCTTTTTGTTGTTGTTGTTGTTTTTACATATTTTTGACAGCAAGTATAATATTAATTTGTAATAAAATTATAAAGACAAATATTATAAAGTTTTATGCCCAAATGGATGCATTTCTTTTTTGCAACACTATACATTTGTTTCACGTTTAATCACAGAATAGGGATTGTTTACAAAGAGGATCATAGATAAGGGAATATTATGCCCTCTTGGTTTTATACCTTCTAAATTTTATAAAGATTTGAGTTAAAAAATAAAAGACTCCAGGCCGGGCGCTGTGGCTCACGCCTGTAATCCTAGCTCTTGGGAGGCCGAGGCGGGCGGATTGCTCAAGGTCAGGAGTTCAAAACCAGCCTGAGCAAGAGCGAGACCCCGTCTCTACTATAAATAGAAAGAAATTAATTGGCCAACTGATATATATATAAAAAAATTAGCTGGGCATGGTGGCGCATGCCTGTAGTCCCAGCTACTCGGGAGGCTGAGGCAGAAGGATCACTCAAGCCCAGGAGTTTGAGGTTGCTGTGAGCTAGGCTGACGCCACGGCACTCACTCTAGCCTGGACAACAAAGTGAGACTCTGTCTCAAAAAAAAAATAAATAAAAAATAAAAAAAAATAAATAAAAGAGTCCAGGGAGTCTGAGGTGGGAGGATCCATTGAGCTCAGGAGTTCAAGACTAGCCTGAGCAAGAATGAGACCCCTGTTTGTTAAAAAAAAAAAAAAAGTCCCAGTTACTCAGGAGGCTGAGGCAGGAGGACTGCTTGAGGCCAGGGGTTTGAGGTTGCAGTGAGCTATCATGACACCACTCTACTCTAACCAGAGTGACAGAGAAAGACTCTGTCTCAAAAAACAAAAAATAAAACAAAAACAAGACTCCAAAAAGAAGGTTTATCATTTGGTATATGTAATGCTGCCTAACTCCAACTGCCAGACTCAATCCATGACCCTGCCTGCTCCCCTCGGCCCTCAGCCCACTGATGTCACCTCAACTCTCACACCTGAAGTCCTGGCTAGTATAGTCTGCAGCCCCAGTTACTGCTCTTGACTCTGTCCTCTCTCCTCAAATACTCACTATCAAGAACAGTCCTGGCCCATGGCAGACACTCAGTAAATAAATACCTATGCTTCTCCTCCTCCTTCATCCCAGCTCACTCCTCCCAGGCCTCATCAGTCTGTGCTCTGCAGGTACGATATCTGGGGAAGTAACATGGGGCAGAGCTATAGCTACTACAACCAGTGATGTGCCCAAGCCTCTAAAAGAGAGAGGAGACAGGCTTTGGGAGAGGAGCTGGCAAGAAAAATTCCCAAACAAGGAGAAAAGCTGTTCATTATTTTGTACATGTGAGGAAGGATTCATTTGCCAGTCCCCTGAATTAGCTTCTCTTTAAGAACCATATCAAGTAAGCTTGCATGCAATAAAGTCAGAAGAGGTATCCACCTCATAACTCTTACCTGGAGGGGAACATGCAGTCATTTTCTCGGTATAATTTGTTCTTAATGATCTGATAGTGGGTCCCTAACTTCCGCCTAACTACCTCTGCCATCATCTTCCTGGAGATACCTCCTCGGAAAGGCATCAGATCTTCTTCTATGACACTGGGAAAGAATGAGAATCATCAGGGAAAGCAGGCCAAGAGAGCGGTACAGTTCCACCTAATTCCTAAGTGCATTTAGGTTTATCAGAGAACACAGAAAGCTGAAGGAAAGAATAGAGGGCAGGAATGAGCAACTCTCTCCCAGAAACACCACAGATAACTTGGAGCATCAAATGCAATAAAGCTACAAAAAATTAAAAATAGGTCAATGTTTCCTTCCTCCCTTTATCTGGATTGTCCCTCCCCTGCCAGTTCCAAATTCCTCCTTCATTATCCATGTCCTCCCAGTCACTGCAGTCCTACTGACGTCCCCCTCTCTGAATCCCACAAAAGGTACAGGTTATGCTTTACAGTCTAACACTGGCTCACTTGTTCTGGTCTGTCTGGCCCGTATCCACCCCCAAATACTATGTCAACCTGACAGTAGTAATCAGAAAAGGATACTATTTTGCATCTTTTAAAGTTGACTACATAGTAAGTTTTCGACAAGTATCACAAGCATCAGATGAATTTTTGAGGAGTCAGAGTCATAACTAAAAGAACCCTGTTATTTAGCTGATGAGGAAACTGAGACCTCAGAAGTTAAGTGGTTTGCCACAGGGGTAATTAGTGGGAGTACTGAGAGTAAAACCCCAAGTCTGTTTTCAAAGTTATCTTTCTACATATCATATCCCAGCCCTGATGTACATTCTTCAAAGATAACCAACAGGAAACTTATGATTAACTGATAAATAGGTTTATTCCTTCAATAATATTTATTGAGCACTTACTGAGGGCCAGCACCTGGGATACAACAGCAAGTAAGACATAGATCTTGATCTCAAAAAACTTTCAGTGCAATGGGAGAAACAGACAAAGACATGCACTAAATCCCACAGGGAGTCACTGGTAATGCTGAGACCACTTGAACCTCTCCTATTCTGGAGCATTTTTATTTCCTTAGAAGTAAGAAAACCACATCAGGCACCCTTTCTTCTCTCAAAACAGGTTGGATCTCTTACCACTGCAACCAAGTTCTCTCTGGGATGTTAGGGTACTTCCTGCAACAAAAACCAAACTCTCAAAGACACATCAAAGAAGAGAACTTACCCATGGTAGCAGCCGCAGTTTTGACTTGAACATGGTTCATAATTCTCCAATGACCTGTTAATTTGGTCAATAAATACTTTCCATTTTGAACCTTCAAAAAGTAAAGTAAATGAAAATTAACCAAGTATCCCTGAACAGTCGTATTTGCTAGCAGCAGCAGGGAGATGGAACCAGCAGAGAACAAAACTTTCAGAAATCCCCTTCCTATCCCACGGGTGGAAACGAAAGGTCTGGATGCATTTTTTTCCTGTAACTCTCCAGCGCTCACGTCGTCTGCTCCTCCACTTGGGCCATCAACATCCTAAGCTTAATGCCCAGCCCTCAGAAGACTGCATAAACTGGATAGTAACATTCTCGCCTTCTACTAATCCAACTGAGCCCCATATAGAGGATCAATTAAAAGCTACCGACATTAAGCCCTCCCTTCACCTCTTCTGACAGTATATATATACAGCGCGAGCGCACACACAAGTGATTGCCCCCCGTCCCCCAGAGTGTTTAGGGAGGTACAAAGCAGCCGAGCGCAGGCGATACCGCCTGCGGGTGAGCAGGGGAATCCTCACTCATCCCCAGCGCAGCGAATTCTGGAGTACGAGTTACTCTTCAGCGTCCTGGGCAGGAGCAGAGACCCAGACACCCTCCCTCTCCACTCCAAGGCGCCCGACGCCCCGTGCCCGGCTTGCGCTACAGAGTCCACAGCATCCTCCAGGGCGAGGGGCGGGAGCGCTTCAGGACCCGGCCAGACCCGGAGCCCGAGCGGCGGGCTCGGCTCTGCCCGGAACCCACCTGACTCCTTCTGGCGGCCCTGCACAGGCGGCAGGAGTAGCAACAGCAGCCAGAGCCGAAGCGGCGAGCTCTTGCCCGGCTCCATCGCCGGCCGACCCACTGCGGATTCCCCGCCGCGACGCCGGCGGAAGCGCGGCCCCGCACAAAGATGGCGGTGGCCGCCGCAGCACGTGGGCGGCGGGCCCCGCACAAAGATGGCCGCGCTGCCCCGCACCCCTCCTCCATCCCCAGGCCGGAGGCGGAGTTTCCCCTGGAGTGCAGCGCCAGGAAGCTGGGGAGAATGCACAGATGGACCAGCTGACTATCCTTCCCTGGCATCCTCTGGGAAAATATGTCTACTAATGGTAATTCCTTCCATTCTATGACATATTGAAAACATTATTTCTCTGCAGCCAGAAAACTGTACGTCAGAGAGGATGTTTCTTGCCCGACAGCTTCAGCGTTAGTGGCACGACCACTAACTGCCTTGTCGTAGAACAGAGGCTAGATAGTTCTTCCCATGACATCCAACTGCCTCTTATTAAAAAGCATAGAAAAGTTGAACATGTGAATGTGTACAGCACTGTTACACTCCAAAGGGTTGTAAATGCATAGCACAGGTCCTTCTATAATAGGAATTTGTAACAGTTTAGGTGACTTAGACATGGCGGGGGAGGAGGGGGGGGAGTGTTGTTAAATAAAATTTATGGAAGACCATTGCTTTGGACTGAGTTCCTACACTAAGTCCCAAAAGACTAGACCAAACCAGTATGGAGTCATTCATCCTGGGTGCCACATAATCAAACTGAACTTTAAAATGAGCCAATTTTCAAAAAAAACCCAAACAACAACAACAACAAAAACCCAGGAGATTCACAGCAATCAGTCAGAAAGTGCCCAGTCTCCCTGAGCTGGCATAATAAAGAAATCCCTCTATTTTAACCCTCTAAGGAAAGTAAATTCAAAATGATCAATCTGCTTTTTTCCCCTTATTTCTGCTTTTTTCAGCTCTTTTCTGCCTATAAAGTCAACCCCCTCTGCTCAGCCCATTAGTCTGCCTTTCTATTTCACAGATAGGATGCTACTTGATATATGAATCACTAATAAAAGCCAATTAGATATTTAAACTAAATTTGTTGAAATTTTGTTTTTTGACAGTGAGCAACATAACACTAGACAGTATAGGTAAATAGCATAGTATAGGTATATATCTATTAATATATTGGTGTATATGGCTAAATGTAGGCATATATAGTAATCATACAAGTACAATTATTTATCCATTGCCTAAAATGTGCATAGTAACATCCTAGGCTTTGTGGAAATACAGATCAAATCTGTGTTCCCAAGGCTAATTTGTGTGTTTGTGTATTTGTTTTTAACAAAAAAGTTGAAAAAGTAAAAAAAAAATTAAAAATTTTAGAAATAGAAAAAAGCTTATAGAATAAGGCTAGAAAGAAAAGAAAATATTTTTGTGCAGCTATACAATGTGTGTTTTAAGTTAAGGGCTATTAGGAAAGAGTCAAAAAGTTTAAAAATTTAAACATTTATAAAGTAAAAAAACTACAGTAAGCTAAGGTTAATTTATGTTGAAGAAAGAAAAGTTTTTATAAGTTTTGTGCAGCCTCAGTTCACAGTGTTTATAAAATCTATAGTAGTGTACAGTAATGTCCTAAGCCTTCACATTCACTCACCACTCACTAACTGACTCACCTAGAGCAACTTCCAATTTTGCCAGCTCCATTCATGGTAAGTGCCCTATAAAGGTGTACTTTTTAAAATCTTGACCCTGTCAAGCTTATCAATATCACTGTCATCTACCTCCACATCTTGTCCCACTTGAAGGTCTTCAGGGGCAATAACATGCATGGAGCTGTCATCTCCTAGGACAACAATGCCTTCTTTTGGAATACCTCCTGAAAGACCTGCCTGAGGCTGTTTTACAGTTAACTTTCCCTTTTTTTAAATAAGTATAAGGAGTACATGCTAAAATAATGAAAAAAGCATAGTATAGTAAATACATAAACCATTAACAGTCATTTATTATCATTATCAAGTGTCAGGTACTGTACATAATTGTATGTGTTATACTTTTATACAACTGGCAGCGCAATAGGTTTATACCAGCATCACCACAAATACATGAGTAGTGTGTTGCACTGCCACATAACAACCGCTATGACATTACTAGGGAATAGGAATTTTCCAGCTCCATTATAATCTTATGGGGCCACTGTTGTATATGTGGTTCATTGTTGACTGAAAGATCATTATGGGATGCATGACTATACTTCAAAATGACAAAACCCAGAATGATTGTATGGGTACTGGAAGTATGATTTCTACCGAATGGGTATCATTTTTGCACCACTGTAAAGTCAAAAATTGTAAGTCAAACCATCCTAAATTGACGACCACCTGTATTCACGAATGAAGTCTCTGTGGTACCTCAGGACACTAGGACTTTGGGGAAAATAACTAACTTTAGCAGTTTTGGTATAAGTCATTCTGGCTCTGCTACTTATTACCTAGGTTATTACTTAACTTCTCTTAACTTCAGTTTTCTCTGCAAACAGGAACCATGGTAGTATCTATCAAAGCATTGTGAGATTTTAAGGAAATGTGTAAAGGTAGTAGTCCAATGTCTGGCACAACAAAAACAAAACTCTCAATAACAGTTAACTAATCATATAATCAATACAAAGAACTTTCTGTTAAGGAGCTTAAATTCTCTGGAGTGAAAGATCTCATAGAAATGCTCCTTTCGACACTCTTCCTCTTCTAGTACTAAATTATTGGCAGTTCCTGAACTCATCATGAAGTTGCCTGCCTCCTTGCCTTTTTATCTACAACTTCCTCTCCAGAACAAGAGCCATCCTCCTACTAATCACCTACTCATTCGTGAAGTCTTGGCTTAAATCCCAAGCTCTCTGTAAAGTTTTTCTTGATATTGACACCACCCCCATCCCACAGAACTCATTACACTGTCTTGGATGCTCTCTGTGGTCCTTGGACATACATTTAATGTTGCATGCATTGTAATAAATTGTAATTACTGTGTTTTCCTGGTGTCTTGTCTTTTCCACTAGACCCGGAGCCTTTGTGGTATTCACTTTGGAACCCCAACATCTATCTAGTCCTTTACTTAAGATACAGTAAGTGCAGGGTTGGATGCTGAAGACTCCACGATTTGGGTTCCTTCATTTAGCAGTGACGTCACCCTAGGTGACGCCTCCCAATCACCCCTCATCTGCAAACTGGGGGCGGTAACTTGTATATCGTTGTGGCATGGAGTCCATACCCTGCACCTCGTAGGCAATATCTGACGGAGGAAATACGCTGGCCAGCGCTGGCCGGGAAGGCGGGACCACGAACCCAAAGCAGAAGGCGAGTTCCACTGCGCAGGTGCACGCGGGAGGGGCTGACATGGGGCTCCCTAGGCTGCCTGTATGGTTCCGGGGGCCGGCTCGCGGCTGGAGCGGCCAGCCGTCGCGGAACTGACGTCATCGCCGTGCGCTGCCACGTCTGCTCAGCTCCGTGGTAATGGAGGTTGGGGATGAGTGCTGACCCGGCAGAGCTCTGGCTCTAGTTTTAGCTCTGGCTCTGGCACTGGCTCGGGGTCTGGGTCTGAGTCTGGCACCCCGAAGCCTGGATACCTTTTCTCGACTCTCTGGGCGGGGACGGCCTGCACACAGGCAGCTGGTTTGGAGTGCTTCAGCGCGGGGAGGGAGTTCTGTTGCCTGGGGTCCAGTCTGTAAAGCCGCCGCCGCCTCCTAGGGAAACTGCCTCACCGGCCGGGCATTTTCCATGCGTGAGTATTACTGAGCTGCCTCACTGTCCGACTGTCCTGGGCCTGGTTTGGCTCTCCGGGGTGTGTGGTGGGGACCGCTTTGTCCACTCCTCTTCGGGACCAGTCTATTGAAGTTTGTGGTCTTTCGCCGGCTACCTTCCCCCACCCCGTACTCTCTCACCTCTTCTGTCCCAGTCTTTTGTCCCTCACTTTTCTAACGTTTGCTCACTAATTGAGCAAGGACCAGCAACCCCTACATCCCATGGTTTGAATGCTTTGTCTCACTTGGCGTTTGTTAGTCTAACAGTAAGGCTGTTAGGAATAGGGAACATTGGATCAGTCTGCAGTAACGTTTTGAAAAACAGGGTTTTTCCAGCGTGTCATCCTTCAGTTTTTGGTTGTATCGTTTAGGAAACATTTGGTATCCATATTGGCGGAACGATGATTTTTGCCATAAATTGATGAAAACACAGCTTCTTTTCAGTGAGGATCTTTATCTGTTACTTGGCTTTTAATCTTGCAGTTTCAGTAATGTCTAAATGATTGTACACCAATTTTTCTGGAGAGGGAATGCACTTGAGTTCCTTCCTGTATTTTCACCAAACATATGGTGAACAGTTTCACTTTTAAAGAGTTGAAAGGCCTTGCCCTTTCATTTATCTTCGTTAGTTCTGATGTCGACCTCTGTAGAACAGGGGACACTTCTTTTTCCTCTGATGAAAAAGCAAACTCAGAGGCTGAATGACTCAAGTAAGGTCAGATAATATGTGACACATCTTATCTCAGAGACCAGATCCCTTGATATCAAAACCTAACATTTTGGACAGTGCTTTTTCTCCGGTATTTCAAGTGGTTTAGCATGAAATATTGAATTGGAAATATATAAATTGTGATGTTTCTTGTAAACATCTGATTGTAATATGATGCAAGTCAACTGACAAAAGACAAAAATTGTGACTTGCCTAAACTGAACAAAGAGAGTTTAGATCAGAACTTAGGCTTTTGACCCATTAGAGTCTGAATTGTCATTTAATTAGAATAAAGTAGGTAAGAGACACTAGGAGCATTTGTTTGAAAATCTGGTTTTGCAAGGCCTGCTCACTCAGTTTTTCTGGTTGTTTTGTTGTGTTGCCTACTTTAAAAGTAGTCAACTGATATTTAAATGTTTTCTTTTGTTGTTCAGAGTTGAAACAGGTTGACAGCCATTAACCTGGGTTGCAACTACAGGCGGCACTGGAAGCAGACTGGTTCCCGGACATGCCCGGTGGAAGGAGGGGTCCCAGTCGGCAGCAGCTAAGCCGTTCAGCTTTACCGTCTTTACAGACTTTGGTTGGTGGGAGCTGTGGCAATGGAACAGGCTTGAGAAACAGGTAAAGAAGAAATAAGGCTATGCAT